GGGGGCTCCCACAAGGTACCAGGGGCTGGGTTGGGGGGTCTCCTTCCGATGCCTGGCCCTGTGTGCCATCAGGAACAGTATTGCATCATGGCGATGGGGCAGGTCATCCCTGAGTGCCTCCTTACCCTGGAAAGGGCTGTGTCCCATTGGGGGTACATAGTGTGTGCTGGAGAGACCCTGGGAGAACACTGCAGACACTGCGCGTCCAGGCGTCGCGCACCCCATGGGTTGCCCACACGTGAACACATGTGTTGGCCACGTGACACGGCACAGAGGCAGGTGGGGTGGAGGGACCAGCGTCGTCCTGTCTCACACACACGCACGCACGTGCACATGCAGGGTGGGGTCTGGCTCCTCTCTGACTGGGGGTCCAGGCCCTGCCTCATCTGAGAAGCCCTGGGGGCCCTGACTGGCCCTCCAGACCCCAGTCCAGAGCTCCCGCTTCTCCTGGCCTGGCAGCCCCCGCTATGGGGGATGGTGCTGCCCTGTCTATGCGCCAGGTGGAGATGAGGAGTGGGGACTGGAGTCAGACTTTCCGAGCCTCTTAGCCTCCCTGCTCAGAACGGCCGGGGGGACGCAGAGTGAGCAGAGCCATGTGCCCGCTGGTGGAGCTCCTGGCCAGGCTGCCTGGAGGCCTGTGGGGGCCACACACCCGAGGGCAGCCACCTCCACCCAGTGTCCGCAGGCCCCGAAGCTTCTGGCTCGTTCTAGCACCTCCCCAGAGTACTCAGTGCAGGCCTGGGCAGTGGGACAGGGCTGAAGCCTCACAGACCCAGACCAAGACGGACAGTGTGAAAATCCTGAAGGAGTCGTCGTGGTGTGAATCCGCACGTCTGTGGCCCCTCGAAGCTGGCTGCGGGAGCTGGGCCTATCCCAGGACCCCAGAGCCTCCAGCACAGGACTGGGCAGGCAGTGGCTGGGTTTCCTGGGGCCCTTGTGTCTCCACAGCCCGCCTCGGCATTCAGCTCAGTGGGGCCACCCTGGGCCACAGTGCCGAGCAGTGTCCAGGCCAGACGCTTCCCGGACTTGGCTGGACGGGCCTGGCACAGTCAGTCCTCAGCAGGCCACACTGGGGGCTGGGGCGGGTGCAGCCATCAGGGGCAAGAAGGGCAAGCCTTCCCCAGGGCCCCAGGGCCCCAGACCCCCATGCTGGGCCCATGGACACGCTACAGTCCTTGCCTTTTGGGTGGATCACCTGGGCCTGTGGCTCCCCAGAGGCCACCTGTAGGGACGGCAGCACAGACCCACTCAGCGCAACCCTGCCTGCAAACAGGGCCAGGCAGGGCCTGGACACTCTGTTCTCTGAGTCCTGCTGCCCCAGCAGCTCAAACTCAAACTCAGCTCCTACACTAACACGTGCCAGGGCGGGTGTATCCGGGGAGAAGGGCGCAGCGTGGGAGCACCCTGCGAGGGGCTTGTCCGAGCAACCAAGCAGGCAGGGCGGGGCACGGGTGGCTGAGGGACACGACAGGCCAGGGTGGGGAGGCCTGAGTGGCTGCAGGCTGGGCCCTGCTGAGGCCGCTTTTTACACGCAGGGTGCAGCCCAGACGCCCCCCAGGCTGGGGCCACCATCAGCACCACCGCTGCCGCCCAAGGAGGGGCACCAGGAGGGGCTGGTGGAGCTGCCCGCCTCATTCCGGGAGCTGCTCACCTTCTTCTGCACCAACGCCACCATCCATGGTACCATCCGCCTGGTCTGCTCCAGCAGGAACCGCCTCAAGACGACATCCTGGGGGCTGCTGTTCCTGGGAGCCCTGGTCACACTCTGCTGGCAGCTGGGGCACCTCTTGGAGCATCACTGGCACCGCCCGGTCCTCATGGCCGTCTCTGTACACTCAGAGCGCAAGCTGCTCCCGCTGGTCACCCTGTGTGACGGGAACCCACGCCGGTGAGGGCCAGGGCTGTCGGCAGGAGGGGCGGCCGCCCCAGCTCCTCGCCCCTGTGACCGTCCCTGACCAAAGCCCCACTGGCCCCTGTAGCCGAGGAGGGGGCTCGGTGTGGTCAGTGCCACCCTGGAGGGACACCGGGCCTCGGGAGCCTGGGAGGAGAGGTGGGGGAGGGTGGAGCGTTCCGGAAGGAGGGAAGATGGGAGGGGCTGTGAGCAGGCTGGACTCTGGGGCCGACCTCCAATTCCAGCTCCGGGTCCAGCTCACCCCGCTGGGCATCCTGAGTGGGGGAGGCACTGCTGTCCCGACAGCATGCACTGGGATGCTGGAGCCAATGTGGGGCCCCGGGCCGGTGACTCTGACTCCAGGGCCCTGCTTCCCAGGCCGAGTCTGGTCCTCCGCCATCTGGAGCTGCTGGACGAGTTTGCCAGGGAGAACATTGACTCCCTGTACAAGGCCAACTTCAGCAAAGGCAGAGATGCGCTCTCCGCTGCCGTCGCCCGCCGCGAGCCCCGCTTCCACCTGGACCGGGAGATCCGTCTACAGAGGCTGAGCCACGCGGGCAGCCGGGGCAGAGTGGGGTTCAGACTGGTGAGTGTCCCAGCCAGGGCCTGTGGCCATCAGGGCCTCGAGTGGGGAGCGGGGCCCGCACTGCTGCTGGCCACAGAGCTGACCCTCCGTCCCCTCCCCCAGTGCAACAGCACGGGCGGCGACTGCTTCTACCGCAGCTACGCGTCCGGTGTGGCGGCCGTGCAGGACTGGTACCGCTTCCACTATGTGGACATCCTAGCCCTGTTGCCCGCGGTGTGGGAGGACAGCCACGGGCGCCAGGACGGCCACTTCGTCCTCTCCTGCAGTTACGACGGCATGGACTGCCAGGCCCGGTGAGTGCGGCGGGCGGGGGCCACTCCCTCCGTCCCGCCCCCCCAGAGCATGGCCACACCCCTGGGGTTCCTCGGGCTGAATGCTGGGAGCCCCCCAAGGCTGGCCACGGCCCCTCAGACCAGCGTGATGGATGCAGGTGGCCAACATTCAGGGTCTGAGCTCGGCGTCTCATACCAGGCAGTTCCGGACCTTCCATCACCCCACCTATGGCAGCTGCTATACGGTTGACGGCGTCTGGACAGCTCAGCGCCCTGGCATCACCCACGGTGAGTGCCAGCCCCTGGCCTGTGTGGGGGCAGCGGTGTAGGTCAGGTGGCCTCACACCAGCTCTCGGCCTCCCAGGAGTCGGCCTCGTCCTCAGGGTTGAGCAGCAGCCTCACCTCCCTCTGCTGTCCACGAGGGCCGGCGTCAAGGTCATGGTTCACGGCCGTAACCACACGCCCTTCCTGGGGTACCACAGCTTCAGCGTCCGGCCAGGGACGGAGGCCACCATCAGCATCCGAGAGGTGAGCCGGCCTCTGCAGCCCACCTCCGGCCCGGGCCTCCTGCCCAACCTGGGCTTTGGGGGGTGGGGGCAGGGCCCCTGGAACTGAAGCGTCCCCTCCCAGGATGAGGTGCACCGGCTCGGGAGGCCCTACAGCCACTGCACGTCAGGCGGGGAGGGCGTGGAGGTGGAGCTGCTACACAACACCTCCTACACCAGGCAGGTGAGGCTGGGCTGGGGGGCGCGAGGGGGGTGAGGCTGGGCTGACGG